TTCTTATATTGAGGTTTAGGATATTTTTTGTAGGATTTTTTTGGGGGTGTGTGTGGTTGTGGGGGTTTTTTGGGTTTTTTGTTGTTGTTGTTTTTGGCTCACTCAAAACTCCTGGTGGTACTAATGGTGGTACTCCTGGCTCTGTACACAGGAATTACTTCTGACAGTGCCTGGGTGGCCATATGGGATATCAGCAATCAAACCCTAGTTGGTCACATACAAGGCAAGTGATCTAACTGCTGTACTATCTTTTCAGTCCTTAGAAATTTGTTTTATGATCTATTTTGAATTAATTTTGTGTTTGGCATGATATAGAGGCCTCACTCATTCTTTCATATTTAGATAGACAACATAGTATCCCAATTTTTTATCTCATTCCTACTTTGGACAAACTTTGGACAAACTGGCAGGCTACCGAATGTAACCTGCCCACACGGCAGAGTCTGGCAAATTCCCTGTGGCGTACCCAATATGCCAAATACCAGTAACCATGAAGGGTCTCATTCTCCTAACTCTGAAAGAGCCTTGAATATGGCACTTTTTTTAAAAGTCTCAGGGCTAGGACGAAGGAGACGTTACTGGGGCCTGCTTGAGGCAATCGATGAATAACAGGATGGTTGTGATTTTGTTGAAAGACTATTGTTCCCATTTAATTCCCTTGGAACTCTCTTACTGAAAGTCAACTGTCATTTTTTCTTGCTACTTTTCCATAAGAACTTTGAAATCAGTAGTTGGTCTAAATCAACAAAAATAACTTGTTACTATTTTATTGGGCTGAAGCAATAGCACAGTGGGTAGGGTGTTTGCTTTGCCCGTGGCTGACCTGGGTTCAATTCCTCTGTCCCTCTCAGAGAGCCTGGCAAGCTACCGAGAATATCTCACCCGCAGAGACTGGCAAGCTCCCCATGGCATATTCGGTATGCCAAAAACAGTAACAACAAGTCTCAAAATAGAGACGTTAATAGTGCCCACTCGAGCAAATCAATGAACAATGGGAGGACAGTGACAGTGAAAATTAATATATTTTTTAATAATAGGTTTATAGGTATCCTAGAGTATATCACTTGTATTCCTAGATTAAATCTTTTTTCACTTTTCTTTTTTGGGGGGGTGGGTTACACTCAGCAATGCTCAGGGGTTACTCTGCAATGCTCGTGACTCAGGAATTACTCCTGGTGGTGCAATGGTGGACCATATGGGATGCTGGGGATTGAACCAGGGTTGGCTGGTGCACCTACTGTGCTATAATTCCAGTCCCCATTAAAACTTTCATGTTTGCTTTTTCCTCTGCCTAGAATTTGCTTTCCATAATTTTCTTATGTCTAGTTCCTTTACTGATTCAGATCACAGATTAAACATCACCTCTTCAGAGCTATGGTTCCTTACCAATCAAAAGTAAATTTCTAGGACTGGGGATGTGACTCAGTAATAGGAGTGCCTGCCTTGCCTGTGTGAAGACCTGGGCAAAATCTCTGGCACTACACACATATACTAAAGGGCCAGGGAACTAGCTCGAAGACACTGTAGTTGTACTTTGCAAGCTGAGATCCAGGTTCAATCCCAAACATCTTATGGTGCCCAAGCATCACTGGGTCTGAACAGCATTGCCTTGCTACTTCCAAGTACTGAACCAACCAGTGGACTCCAGGCCACTTGAACACTGTTTGGAAGGCCCATTAAAAAATAATAATAGGGTGAAAAAAAATAATAGGGCAATAGAGAGAGCTCAATGGGCTAAACAAATGCTTTGCATACAGGAGGACCAGGTTTGAACCCTGGCACTTCATGGTTTGGTGGTATTGTTCTACTGAGAAAATTATCAGAGCATTGAGTTGGAAAAAGCCCCAAAGCATTAGATGTGGCCCTCAAAACAAACAAAACAGTAAATAACTTTTCTAAATTTTGTTTTTGGAGGCCAAACCTGGCAGTGCTCAGGGCTTACTCCTGGTATTGCACTCAGAAATTATTTCTGGCAGGCTTGGGGGACCACATGAAATGCCGGAGATTGAACTCTGGTCAGCATTGTGTAAGGTAAGCACCCTCCCGCTGTATTATCTCTGTGGTCCCCCCAATTTTTTTTGAAAATTAAGTAATCTTCCATCTAGCTTTGAGGGCAGTAACTTATTTGGGGGGTGGAGGGGACCCACTCCCAGAAATTCTCAGAGGCAACTCCTGGCTGTATGCCTCAGGAGTCACCCCTGGCAGTGCTAAGGGGACACCATGTGTTAGGAACAAACCTGGGAAGGTTCATGCAAGCCAAGAAACATACCTCCTGTGCTATCTTTAATTTCCTACTTATTACTTGCTGACATATTTTATATATACTACATCTATATATTACTACTATTTATATACTTTTCTCCACTACAACAGAACTGAATTTCTCTTGGTAGTAGATTTACTGCTATATGATCAAAATATTCATTGCCTGTAAAGAACTCAGTAAATTTTTGTAATAAATCCATTCTTATTTTGGTTTATTAACATAAACAAGATGGTAATGGATTTCCTGTAGTTAAAATTACCACAGGAAAAAAGAAGAGTAACAAAATCTCATATTCTCTAACTGTACTTATTAAATAAATTCAGAGCTATTAACTTATTATTATTATTATTTTGAAATAAAAAAGATTCGTTGTTGGATAACATTGGGTTGTCCTTGCTCTATAGGGAGCTTCGGTTTACTGAGTTATTCCCACAACAGTACCCCTGAGACACACGCAATTCTTTAGAGCACTAATAATCTTATACTGATTTTCTCTTTCCTTTATGTCACTTGCATGGTTTAGCAATGCCCTTTTTGTATAGACACAGGAAGACAGTTGATGCTATGCTTTGTAACATGGGAGTTAATTGACTCCAAATAATTACTCCTGGGCATCATCCACATTTACTTGACTTAAGCCTCAGTTGCCTTTACTTCCTAACACCCCCCAAAAGGAGGGGCCCGACTAAGGGACTGGATGGACCCATCGCAAACTGTAAGCTACTCTGGCATCAAAAGGGGACAAGCTAAGTGCCATAAGTATAATAAGTTAAGAGCACAGTCATGGAACAAACTCCATCATGACACAAAAAGAAGTAACTGAATAAGGACCCTGCTGGGGTTAGAAGAGATTAAACTGGCCTGAGGACTATAGTCTGGGATCTATAGCAAGATGTCCCCAGGAAAAGCAATCTTTAAGCTTAATGTACCTCTTACTGTGTTCATACAAAATGACTAGAAATATTATAAGTAAATTTACTATGAGTGGTTAAATAGATTACGAGGTGAACAAAGGAGAAAGCAATAGATCCTGGATGGAATCCAGCCCCTAACAGATCTCCTAGTAATCTAGAGTGCTGAGATCTTGTCCTTGAGTTAATCTCCTAGAACTTCCCCTGAAGGAGTGGTTTTACCTCTGTTTGTTGTTATGATAATGTTCAAGCCCACCTATGTGTACCTCCATCCTTCATGATTTCTATATAACTATGCTGTAAGGAAAAGACAAGGACTAGGATGATGGAACTATGATGACTGGGACTACGACCAAAACTATTATTTTGGGACCTATGATTGTGCTGTAAGGGGAGAGATAGAACTATTTTGGGGAGGAGAGAGAAATAAACTGTCTACCAACCAGCCTGGGGTCCTGTTTCTCCATTCCTCCGATCCTTCATTCGTCCATCACCATGGGCTGGCCAGGGGAACAGTTTTCGGCCATTGACTGCTTGAGTCCCTCACACCCCCCATGCTTTTCTTTTAAAACACAAGATTTTACTTGGAGGATTTTCAGAAGAAGAAGGAGGGAGAGAAAGTGAGAGAGAGAAAGGAACATGCTCAAGAGAGAACCCAAGCTTCTCAAAAGGTGAAGAGAATGCCTACAAAACCCCAACATTAGATATGAAAACATGAAAGTACGGATCTCAAGAAGGAAGATGTAGGTTACATATGCTCAGGTGCCACATGTGTTTGGCCACATGAACACAAGCAGCACATGGGCTTGGGCAGTATATGTGCCAAGAGCTGTTAACTTTTTTTTTTTTTGCTTTTTGGGTCACACCCGGCGATGCGCAGGGGTTATTCCTGGCTCATATACTAAGGAATTACTCCTGACGGTGCTCGGGGGACCATATGGGATGCTGGGAATCGAACCCAGGTCAACTGCGTGCAAGGCAAACACCCTACCCGCTGTGCTATTGCTCCAGCCCCCCAAGAGCTTTAACTTTAAAAAGAAAGCTACAAATTCAAACAAGTCTCATGATGAGGACATTACTGGGCCCGCTCGAGCAAATCGATGAACAACGGGAAGGACCGTGACCGTGACAAATTCAAAATAATAATCAGCACCTATTTTGGTGAATTCAACAAAATACTTAGTACTTTAAAAAATAATATAATTTTGGGGCTGTAGCAATAGCACAGCGGGTAGGGCATTTGCCTTGCACACCGCTGACCCCAGTTCGATTCCCAGCATCCCATATAGTCCCCTGAGCACTGCCAGGAGTAACTCCTGAGTGCAGAGCCAGGAGTAACCCCGGTGCATCGCCAGGTGTGACCTAAAAAGCAAAAAAATAAAATAAAATAATAATATAACTTAATACTAAAAATAAGGTTCTTTCTTATAGTTAACAATTAACAACTGAAATGTCATTAAGATGTGTTATGTTTTATCAGTAAGAGTTAACATATAATTAAATAAATAACAAACACGTAAGTTGACTACTCTAATAGAAATAAAAGATGTGCTTAAATAAGTTATAGTCACACCCAATAGTGCTCAAGGGTCACTCCTGGTGGTACTCAAGAGATTATATATAAATGCAGTACTGGGGATGAAACCACAGTTTGGTCACATGCAAGTTAGGTTCTCTATGCTCTGTACTATCTTTCTGATCCTATGTACTTCAGTAATTTTAATAATATCACCATCAAGAAAAAAATTAACTCATAAAAATTTATTTAAAATTTATATAATAGAAACATAAAAGATGAAAATGTGACAAACTTTCACAATTACCTGTAAAAGGTGATGATTTCTCCGAGTGTTTTATTTTCAGATGCTTCCTATTAAATACATCATCACAGGGACAAGATTTACATACAACAGCTACCTGGAGCAGGGGAGAATGAAAAAAATATATTATGATTATTAAACATATCAAGTACTTATAATAATTTATTTAAAAGGTAGAAATCACACTTTTATCTAAACTCTATCTTCTCATAAAAATTACTTGAGAGATAGGAATCAATATACTATAACACCTTCCCTTCTCATCACTATAAAAATTTAATTTTCTTTTTACAATAGTGTTAATGTATATGCTTTTGGTGTACAGAGTTACTATATCTCCATTCTAAAACCCTTCACCTAGTTCTATAGAACTTCTGAAAGTTTAAAATACCAGTCAACAAGGGAAGATTGTGAGAACTAGAATTATTTCCTAAAATGTTAATTTTATTATATAATTATTTAATAATGTTAATTATTTCCTAAATGAACAGTTGCAATTAGTTAAGAAGAAAAGGGAATAGTTAATAAATTATTACATGAGTCCCAGGATAGGAGACTAGTGTTCTGTTCTGCAATATTAGGTGGAGAAAATATATTGTTTTTATTTTTGGGGGGGTGGGGATCACACCTGGCAATGCTCAGGGATTACTCATGGCTCTGTACTCAGGAATTACTCCTAGTGATGCTCAGGGAACCATATGGAGTTCCAGGGATCTAACCAGGGCCAGCCACATACAAGGAAAATGCCCTACACTCTACATCATCTCTCTAGACCTGAGAATGTATTGGTTTTTAATAGGTGTGGGGATACAAACACAAACTGATTAATAATCATATAACAGAAAGAAAGAGTAATAATTCATGAATGAGACGGAAGTAACTGAAACATCTTATAATAGTTTGAGGGAAAGAAATAAGGAAAACTAACCCCCCCAAAAGGTTACTTTTTATTACTGACATAGGCTCTCCACTTGAGGAAAAAACACTGAACAAATCCCTAAGTCCTGCATGCTTCTACTTGTCTAATATGGCTTTCTTCTATGGGAAGCAGTCCATGATACTTACATATTTTGATGTGAAAAAAAAAGTTATTTTTCAAGTTTTTGTTGTTGCTGGGCTGGAGTGACAGCACAGCAGTAGGGCGTTTGCCTTGTGCGCGGCCGGCCCGGCCGAGCTGGGTTCAATTCCTCCACCCCTCTCAGAGAGCCTGGCAAGCTAGCAAGAGTATCTCGCTTGCACAGCAAAGCCTGGCAAACTACTCGTGACATATTCGATATGCCAAACACAGTAACAACAAGTCTCACAATGGAGACATTACTGGGCCTGCTTGAGAAAATCGATCAACAACGGGAGAACATTGCTACAGTGCTTTGTTGTTGCTGTTGTTAGTTTGTGAGGGGCACACCTGGGGGTACTCTGAGGGCTAGGGCTATTCCAAGAGGTACTGAAGAGCATGTGGAGTAGGGATAGAGCCCATGGTCTCGAACATATAAGATGGCTCTACAAACTGAGCCATCATCCTAGCTCCTATTTAACAATTTTTTTCTATTTAATAATTTTTAAGGTATAATAAACATACAATAAACTACACACATTTTATTTGGTTTGTTTTTATTTTAGGGGCAGGGAGATACCTGGCTGTTCTCAGGGCTTATTCCTGGCTTCATACTCAGGGATCACTCCTGGTGGGCACAGGAGACCATATGGGGTGCCAGGGATTGAACCTGGGTTGACCACATGCAAGGCAAGCTCCTTACCTCTCTGGTCCTAAAACCACACATATTTTTTTTCTTCCCTCCCTCCCTCCCACCTCCCTCCCTCCCTCCCTCCTTGGCCAAAACCACACATATTTTAAATGTAAAATTTGATCATTTCTGACACATGTGTATGCCTGTGAAACTATCACTACAAAAAAAAAAAAGAAAAGAAACTATCACTACAATGAAGAGAGTAAAGAGAGTAAATAACCATCATCCTAAAAGTTTCCTCATGCCCCTTTGTGATCTACTCTCCTACTTCTCATTAATGTCAATACCTCCTTTTCCAGGTAAATACAATTTTCCATTACTATTAGCCTGAGTTTTCTGAAGTTTCATATACGTGGAATTATATAGTCTCTCTTTTAAATGTCATTCACTCAGCACAATTTTTTTTTTCAATTGAATCACTATGAGATTTGTCCCAGGGCTGAGATCTCCAAGCCTGCTTGGATGGGGACTGGGCCTCCTCCACCCAGATCCCAAATTTTCCAGTAGCTAGGCATTTACAACCACAAACTGTCCCCGGCACCATGAAATCCCATCAACGGCCAAGATCCAGAGACTATAAAACAAAGCTCCCAGAAGCGTGTAGCTGCTCTTATAGTCTAGTTCTCCTTCTTGGAGAACCCGGCCAGTTACCGAGAGTACCTGCCTGCATGGCAGAGCCTGGCAAGCTCCTGTGGCATATTCGATATGCCAAAAACAATAACAATGATGTGTCTCATTCCCCTGACCCTGAAAGAGCCTCCAATGCGGCACCATTGGGAAGGACGAGTAAGGAGAGGCTGCTAAAATCTCAAAGCTAGGACAAATGCAGACGTTACTGGTGCCCGCTCGAGCAAATCAATGAATAACATGCGGGATGACAGTGATACAGTGATACCATGAGATAGTTACAAACTTTCATGATTAAGTTTCAGACATATAATGATTGAGCACCCATCCCTCTATCAGTGCACAATTTCCACCAGCATTGTTCCCAGTATCCCTCCGGCCACCCCCATCCCATCCCACCCCTGTAGTGCCAGGTACTTTCCTTCTTACTCTCTCTCTACTTTGGGGCATTATGGTTTGCAATACAGATACTAAGAGGCCATCAGGGTTTGGTCCTTAGTCTACTTTCAGCATGCATCTCCCATCGAGAGCAATCCCTCCAACAATCACTTACTTAGTGATCCCTTCTCCATCCCAACTGCATCTTTGCCCAGTACATGATCCATCCAAACCATGGAGCAATCCTTCTGGCCCTTACCTCTACTGTCCTTAGAGGTTAGTCTCCTATTATGTTACTTCATATTCCACAAATGAGTGCAGTCACTCTATGTCTGTCCCTTTCTTTCTGACTAGTTTCACTTAGCATGATACTCTCCGTGTTCATCCACTCATATGCAAATTTCATGATTTCATCTTTTCTAACATCTGCATAGTATTCCATTGTGTAGGTGTACCAAAGTTTCTTTAACTAGTCATTTGCTCTCGGGCACTCGGGTTTTTTCCATCAGCACAATTCTTTTGAGATTTACCCATGTTGTTTTGTGTAACAAGTTCATTTTTTTCATTGCTGGTATATTATTTTACAATAGTATATATTGCAACATCTTTACTTAACAACTTGCTGGACAAATAAAGCTGCTATAAAACTTCATATACAAGACTTTGTATAGACATATACTTCATTTTCTCTTGTATACACAGCCAAAAGTGGGATGACAAGATCAGAAAATAGATCTGTGTTTAACTATGTTTGTTTTGGAGCCATGCCTGGCTCCAATGGCTACTGAAGCACCACTCTCAGAGATTGTCAGAGGGCTATGTGATACAGGCAATCAAATCTGCACCCCCCTCATGCTAAGCATGTACTTCAGCCCTTTGAACTATCTATCTGGAATAATGGGGATTTTTTGGCGGGGGGAGGAGGGCGGTCACACCTAGTGATGCTCAGGGGTTACTCCTGGCTCTGCACTCAGGAATTACTCCTGTGCTTGGGGGACCATATAGGATGTCAGGGATTGACCCCAGGTAGGCCACGTGTAAGGCAAATGACCTACTCAATGTACTATTGCTCTGGCCACTGGAATAATGTTTAACGTCTTTTTATCCCCCTTTTTGGGTTTTTGAGCTATACCTGATCATGTTCAGGGCTTAGTTCTAGATTTGCACTCAGAGATCACCCCTTGAAGGTGCTTGGAACCAAATCCAAGTCAGCTGCCTACAAGGCAAGCGTCCTGCCCACTGTAATATCTCTCTGGCCCTATGTTTACCATTTAAAGAAAAATGCAAACTACTTTTCAAAGTTGTGTTACCATTTTACATCCCCAATGGCAGTGTATGATAGTTCTAATTCCTCTACATCCTGACCAGCCCTTGGTATGTTCAGACTTGTAATTTTAACTATTCCTATAGGGGAGTAGCATCTCATTGAGATAATGTCCATATCCTTAATTATTATCATAATGACTCATTTCGCTTAGCATGATACTTTCCATGTAGTACCACTTGTATGTAAATTTCATGACTTCATCTTTTCTAACAGCTACTTAGTACTCCATTGTGTAGATGTACAAAGTTTCTTTAACCAGTCATCTGTTCTCAGGCACTCAGGTTTTTTCCAGATTCTGGCTATTGTAAAGTCGATTGCCTCGAGCAGGCCCCAGTAACGTCTCTTTCATCCTAGCCCTGAGATTATATTCACGGCTCTTTAGGAGAATGAGACCCATCATTGTTACTGGTATTTGGCATATTTGGTAGGCCACGGGGAGTTTGCCAGACTCTGCCCTGTGGGCAGGCTACATTCGGATAGCCTGCAAGTTTGTCCAAAGTAGGAATGAGGTAATAAGATGTCGCGCAGCCGCAAAGGCCGCAAATGTCCGGGATCAGAGACTATAAAATCCAGATCCCGGACGAGAGCAGTGCAGTCTCTGCCCCCGCGCCTCGGTGTTCCTTCCCGGAGTCCCTTGGAGGGGAGCGGGTTGAGCTTTCCTCCCCGCCCCGGCCAGGGCTACGGCAGCCGGAGACCTCCAGGACCAGCCACCACCATGCTGAGACCACTCTCCGCACACCTGAAGGTACTGGCAGAGGGACAAAGCCACGCGGGTTCCGGGGCCGAGACCTCCAAGCCTACTCGAATTGGAGTCGAGCATCTTCCACCCAGATCCTCCAAATTCCAGTAGGCGGGGGTCACACCCACCACCTGGCCCCCGGCGCCGTGTAATCCCATCAGCGGCCAAGACTCAGAGACTATAAAATCCAGATCCCGGGACCGACATCTTATTATCTCATTCCTACTTTGGACAAACTTGCAGGCTGTCGAATGTAGCCTGCCCACAGGGCAGAGTCT